TATGATGCCAAATTTGGAGAGAAGCAGATTAATTAAAGATTAATGTCTGAATTGTATTGTTATTGGTGCATATTTTGCTTTCCGCTTTTCCATTTAATTTGAGGTGATATGTATGGATAAGTGAAGCAAAAACTCATACTATTTTGTGTGCTAAAATTAGTAAATACGAGTTGTTATATTCTTGATCAATGTTTCTTTGTAAGGTTTGGATTTTTGTTTGGAACTAGGTTTGAATAAAATTTAGTGAGAGTTTGAAAGATTGGGAATATTTGTGATTTTTTGCTTACAAAATTCCATAATTTTTTTATACAATGGTCCAAATAGATAACACAATATTTTTGGCGTTTGTTGCTTAAGACGAGAAAAGTATGTGTGTTGCTATGAATAGTTACAAGAGTGATCATAATATTATTAAGAGAGTCATGTGTAACATTCTCCTCTGGAACGTATCATAATATTTTCCTCTTTGGGCTCCCGACACAAAAACTTATCAGGGGGTCACCCATCCTAGAATTGTTCTTGCCAGGGCACGCTTAACTATAGAGTTCTTATGGGATCTGCTGCCCTCATGGCTTTAAAACATGTTGTGACATGGAAGGTATTCACACCCCTTATAAGGAATTCTAAGTTCTCCTTCTCAACTGATGTGTGATTAGGTGCAGGTAACCACCCACCTTCACCCCCTTTATAGGGTTCGTCGTCCTTGTTAAACACGTTGAACCATGCCCTAGTACAAAAAATTCCAACGGGGTCACCCATCCCTGAATTGTTATCGCAGGGGACACTTAAATGTAGAGTTCTTATAGGATCGATTGCCCTCATGGCTTACATGTTTTGATAAGGAAGGTATACACACCCCTTATAAGGAATGTTTAGTTTTCTAACATAATGTGTTTTAAAGTCATGATGGTTGTAGATCATATAAGAACTCTACAATTAAACGTGCCCCTGCGAGAGCAATTCAGGGATGGGTGACCCTATGGGAAGTTTTTGTGTCGGGAGCCCAAAGCGGACAATATTGCGATACGTGCAAGAGGGGGATGTTACAAATGGTATCAGAGCTAAGGCACGGATTGGTGTGTTTTATAGAGACGTCAAACCCTGTATAGGGGGTGAAGGTGGGTGGCTACTTGCACCTGATCCCATATCGGGTGGGAAGGAGAACTAAGCATTCCTTATAAGAGGTGTGGATACCTTCTCTAACACAACACATTTTAAAGTCGTGAGGGCATCAGATCCCATAGGAACTCTATAGTTAAGCGTGCCCAGGCAAAAACAATTCCATGATGGGTGCTTTGGGATGTTTTTGTGTCGGAAGCCCAAAGTGGACAATATTGTGATACATGTTAGAGGCGGATGTTACATCATGAATTGGAAGCTTAATATTCTTCCCTAGTATATATGAATTACCAAGACTAGATCGTCAAGTCTGATTTCATGTGAGAAATATGTTTCGCATAAGGGAATGTAAAGTGAGGTCATATAACCATGTATTTGATTCCAAATAGTTGTTAATAAACCCAAAAAATTAGAATGTGTTTTCATGGGTGGTGTAAATGGATAGAGGTACACATTACTATTGCATATTATGATATAGAAGCCCTTTTGAAAAACCTTCATAATGATACCAAAAGGATCAAAGTTGATGAGTTGGTAATGGTCTTATGGCGTCGAGTTTAAATTGTTTTCCATTTCCCATCATAATTTTATTTTTGACATTCGAGTTAGAATAATATGCAAGAATGCCTTGAGAGGGTGTCATGTAAAAACAATATCAATGTACTAAGAAATGTTTGTAGGATTCATTATCAAATAAGTTTCCATGTCAATATTTGTTGGCGCATATGAAGTGAGTATACAAGAACTAAACATCATGACATCTTTTTGAAGACAAGTTATAGGTATGTTATAGCTACTTAAGTTTTATGGCCAAGACCAAGTGTTTGTAGGGCAAGTATGTGGAGGTGTGGCCCATTGTAGGGGAAAATTGAGCCACATATATATAGGTTTGTTGAACGCCATCCCAATATGTTGAAGACACCTATTGGGGACGGGAAGAAAATGGACAATAAGGCTATCGATGTTGCCCATACCCTGTCAATGACCACCACCATGGTTATTGCGATGTCTACTACAATCAAGCTAATGGAGTCATCAACCAAAAGATTTAGTTTTGTTGGTTTGTTAGACTTGGCCGGAGTTAGAAGATGGTGTCGACTATAGCCCTTCCCTTCCATTCCCTTTCCCTTAAAATCATCCCAAAAGTGGAATGAAATACTTCATGAAAAATAAGCCTTTTCCTCCCCTTCAAATCCTTCCATTTCCCTCCTTAACTGAAACTCAAGAACACACATCATTCCCTTGGGTATGTAGTGGCACAATTGAATATGATTGTCATGGTTTTATCTAGTTAAAATAAACCCGTGAAAATTTATATTGGTCATTAATTATTAGACTATATCGTTAGTCGATAAAGGTTGATGTTAAGTTTCCAAGCTCAAGCACATGTTCAAGTTGTGTGAAAAGAAAAAGAAAAAAATGTTGTGAAAAAAAAAAGTCGGATTAAAAAACAAACATTCAAGAAGAGTCAATAAGGCGAAAATGTCACCAGTTTGTGGAAAGTTTACAAAGTTTTGAGTTAATAAAAAATTATAAAGTATGAATAAATTGAAAATGTTAAAAGTGTACAAAAAAGGGTTCAATGTTTAACATAACTTGCGAAGTCAAAGTAGTAATTTTTATTTTTTTGTTGTTCTTTTTAGTTTTTAGATTGAGTCGTGTGGGAACTTGGCTAAAACACCTTGAGGTTATGGGATTTTTGAAGGGTATGAATTATCATGTGTGATTTTTGTAAGTAGAGTTTTTGTGTTATGATATCGAAAATTAATTGCAATTATGCTTAAAATGAATTTAAGTTTGTTTAAGGACAAGCAAAAAAGGTATTTTAATGTGGTCATACTTGTATATATATTTTAGGTCATTATCTTAATATCTTTGAATATAAATGCTATATTTGAAGATAAATGATACTTAAAATGATTTGGATTGGATATGAATTTTGTGTCTTGGAGCAAAAGGAAGAGATTGGAGCTGAGTTGAGCTTATAAGGATGAAAAACAAAGATAAGCAAGAAAAACAAAGATAAGCAAGAAAAACCAAAAACCGTGTCATGCATGGCTACAAAGCGTGTCACACCCTACTGAAGTGTCTGACTCGAACACGGATTCTATACCACTCGCGACGCTACTACGCCCTGGTCGCAACGTGGCATTGCTTAGTCTATAAATATAGGATTTTTCAACCCTAATTCGGTATGCAACCTTGGGAACCTTTCCCTATGGGTTAAAAGGTTTCTTAACATCCAAAAACCCTTTTGGGTTGATATCAAGATTGGAGAAGCCCTTTAGAGCGAAGATTTGAAGAATCGGAAGCTAGGAGCATTAGGACTACCAATCGTTTTACTTAATGATTGTGTTTAGTAAATCTTTTCTGATGCTTTTATGTTTTTACCAACTGATTATGAGGTAAAACACTTATATTTTCACTATAATAGATTTAACCTAATGACTTGGTGTGATTTTATTATTCGAATATTTAGTTTTATTTAATATATTATGTTTGTTTGATCAAATACCTTATGTGTTAAACTTTTGATTTTTATTATCTATTGTTGAGTTAGTAGAATTTAGACGATCAAGCTGATTTTATTAGCTTGAATCATAATTGTCCAGTACCATTTGACAATTATGAATAATGATTGACCAAATCCTAGAGTTAGGTAATATAATCATAAACTTATGTGGAAGAGAGCATTAGATAATCACTTATGTTTAAGATTGATTGTCATGACAATTAATAAGAACACTAGATCAAATCTCTCATGATACGAACTTAATTATAATTGTTAGATAATTATTGCATGATCTTTATGTTAATTGTCTTAATAATTACACAAATTAGTTAATCGGACCAAGATAACTAATAACATTAGAAATGAGTAAATAATAACTAATATTCATTGTACTTATTTGGAATTCACCATCTTTAAATGCACAATTGAATCTATGTTAAAACATCTTTATCTCTTTTGTTTTTAAATCAATTATCTAGTTGTGTTTTCGTTTTATTAGTTTTAATTAATTGTAATTAAGTTTAAACAAAAAACATTTTTACATTATTGTTTATAACTTTAATTGACATTTGAATTATTTGATATAAATCATTCTCATTTCCCTAGTGTTTAGATAGAATTTCTTACCAAAACTATACTATTACACGATTATACACTCTTGTTGTATGCAATAGTTTAGTTGTGATAGATTAGGACTTATAAATTTAAAACTAATGTACAAAAAAATACACATCACCTGTCCTTACAAAAAATCCAACTATATGAAATGATTTGACGAGAGTTGTTTTTAGGAAATCGTGTTCTGAAAAATTCACACGCTTATGAAGAAAACTCCAATAGCCTTAATAAAGGCATGACAAGTGAGGTAACAATTTTTAGGTGTGATAACATACATTAACATGTTGCCCACACTCAATAGCCTTAATAAAGACTAATTGTTTTTAGTAGGGAATTTGTCTAACACGAAAACCGCCTCCTAGTCAAATCAATACGTTAAAAAGTAACTCCAACACTCCATTAGCATAACATAGAATTTAAATAGCCAATCCAACTTACTATGAGAATAAACTTATGGACACAAAAAGTTTTAAAATGATCAGAAAATACCATATAGGAACATATTACACATTGACATCATACAAACACAATGACATAAATAAAACCAACTAACTTGTATCTTATCATCATAATTCTAATCAATAAGTTACCCATTATTATAACATGCACATTTCTCAAAGTACAATGCTCTAATAAGCAATATAATTAAAAACACAATGCTATAATAAGAAAAACAAAACTGTTTCTTACATTTACCCCTAAAAATAAAAATATAACCGAATTCACTATATTTAAATTAGTTGAAAATACTCATACAATATTACAATTTGTCAATTTCAATATGTTTCTGACAACTACATGTCCAACAAATCTTACAATTTTAATGCAATTTAAGTCTTCGATTATATGGTCTCCATATATAGTTTTTATTTTAAATGAAGCAAGAAAATAGAACTACAAAAACCAAATGTCTTACAATTCCCAATTGAGAACATTTCCAACAAAAAAAGAAAAAGAAAAATGTTTTGTGAACCTCAATAACCTAATGAATGCTAAAAAGTGAAAATATTAAGCACTTAATTCTCTTCACTTCTTTCGGATTTTGATAGTAAGAGTCCAGTTAACCTTACCCTCTGGTAAAGGAAGAGATTTAGGCAATCGAAGTGGCACCTCAAATTCCCCTAAACTTGACAATGGAGACTCCAATTGCAAGTTTTCAGGCTCAATACGCACTCCAATCTGTCTTGCCACCTGTCACATCACCAAAATTGAATCAAAATCATCAATCATCTGTTTCTTTTTTACTTAAATCATAACTTTTTATAGATTGTTACCTCAGATATGATCTCATCTTTTTCCACAGGTGAACGAAGTTCTGTATCTATCTTTATGTATCTTCTCAGAACCTATAAGTGTTGAACAAGATCAAAAAAATGTAAATTTGGAAGATGGAGAATTGAATTACAGTTTACATTTTACATTTTACAAACCAGTTTAGCATTTTCAAGTCGTCTAGCTGCTGTTCTGTATTCTTTCATGGTGTCTTCTTCAGTCTTTGGAACTACCTTCACCTCTTCAGCTTCTTTGGGTTGATATATCTGGTTGAAAATAGATAAAAAGATTAGCATTGTTGAGATCTGTTTATGAAAGAGAAATTCAGAAAGATGGAACAACCTTCCTCTGTTCACTGATGAGATAAGCAAACTTTTCTATATTTGGAACTGCAAGCAATTTGGGCATCAGATGGTTGCGGAAATGTCCAGGAGCAACTTTCACTGTTTCACCTGCTTTCCCCAGCTTGTCTATGGACTGAATTTAACCAAAAATTTCTTCATTTCATGTCGAAGAGTAGTAAAGTTTATACAGAATAGATGGAGGTAGGAGGTTAATCGATGAAACTGATCTACTTACTGTTGTAAGGATGACCTCCAGCTTTCTGTATCTGACACCTTGACTAGCATAGAATAATGGATGATGTAGAACAGAATCGGAATTCTGGAAGAGAGCTGTATCTTTCAGAATCTTACTCTGGCGAAGAATACTTCGGCCATACTTGAGGTAAACCATCGTTTAAATCTTCAGTCGTACACCAAAATGTTTATTTTCCTGAAAAATGAATCGATTGTTTACAAAAAGGTGGAATCATTTGCAAGTTTTGTCACGCATTCAAATTTGAAGCAGACGAATAAGCATACAATGTAAGTGAGTTTGATCGAATTACAAATTTAGGAATTACTTCACTTAGGGTTTATATCTAACCAAAGTAGACGCGAATCATCTGATATTTGATAAAACCCTAGTTTATAGGTTAGAGATTTCGATATTTACTTGGGAGAAGGTGTTCCGCTGTTCTCCGACGGTGGTCGTAACCTGGTGGTCGCCGGTAACGGGCTTCAGAGCGGCGGCGAACGTTCTGCCTCTCCAGTTAAGCAATGGAGTCGGCGATAAATTTATTTTCCCTACTACTAGTTATCGAAGTTGTTGGACTTTTTAAAGTAGCCACAAATGTTTGAGTTTTTCTATATCTTGCATAAACTTCTTTTAGATTTTCAAACCTACCACACAAGTTTTGTAGATTACATAAACTACCCTAATAACTTGTATATTTGGTTTGTTGAAATGGAAATGACAATGTGATGAAATGAAGGAGGTAATGAACTTTTTAAAATAGCCGCAAACGTTTGAGTTTTTCTACATCTTCCACAAACGTCTTTTAGATTTTCAAACCTACCACACAAGTTTTGTAGATTACATAAACTACCCTAATAACTTAGGTTATGTTTGGTGGGTTGGAACGGATTGACAATGTAATGAAATGAATCATTACCATTTCACTATAATGTTTTATTATAGTACTGGAATGAAATGAATAATTAATTCATGTTGTTTGGTAGACAAGTGAATGAAATGAAAAAGATTTACAATGAGAAAAATACTCACGTAACAGAAAATGTATAAAAGTTAAACATTTTACAAAATTATCTTTATTTTTAACTGTAATAAATGCATATTAAATATAGATATAAAAAATCGTTTTCACATAATAATAGGTCGAACTGTAAACACAATTTTGATTTCTAACTTGAAACAACTTAATGGCTACAATAATAGACCAAAGAATTTGAGTCTAAATTTTGTTTCCACCCAACACTTTGAAAGATTACACATGGCCCTCAACTTCAATTGTGTTTAAGCTCCAAAATCGGACACTTTAGCAGTCGATATACGTGTTCTATTGCTATCTTCCAAGTCACCCTCCTTGGAATCGGTATTAAACACCTTCTTAAGTGCCTCGCATGCAACCACATTCTTTTGGTGGAATCTCAATACATCTTCCTCATCAAGGGTCAATCTTAATTGGGCATCACCACATGATTAGTCTTCTCACATGCAATTACATGTTTGTATTCATTAAATGTCAACCGTGTAAGCTTTCAACCATCACCCACCCAAGTTGAACATCATAGTAGCAATTGGAAACAGAAAATATAAAAGATAACAAAATATAAAAGATAACAAAATATGGTAATTGTATGTTTTTGCAACAACACCAGGATAAAAAAAATCATATCTATTATCATATCTCATCCCATGGTCCCAAAAAGAAAGAAATTTTCTATTAGAATTTACTATCCTTAACATGTCTAACATACATACATATATTCCATAATTTTAATTTATATATTCAAGTTGTATTCTAGCATTCAAGGGTACCTCAGAAATCTCGATGGTGTGGTGATTGACTCAATAGCCATTATAACGTTGATTGACATGGTAAGCCCCAACCCCATAACGGAAAAAGATTTATTATTTAACATTCAACCTATTGCAAAGATTGGTGCTTTGTAAATGATGCAAGTCATATTCTTTATTTGCATTGGATATGCATTTTTACTAAAAGACATGAAATTCCTTGAAGATAGTTCATTTAACTATTTCAATGATCACTTAATATGCAAGTATTTGTTCATAAACAAAGTTGTCCAAATAAACTTAAATCGTTTGTTGAAAAACGAATGACTAATAAAATCTGAAAATCAACCAACACATACCTTTCAAATGATAAGCATTGCGGTTTAGCACTTTAGCGATGACGAAAAAAAAAAATAATAATAAACTTTATCGATGTGGATGAGTTGTTTCTTCTTCGGAAATCCATACAATGATCCTTCTTGTAATCAATAATCAATAATCAACCCATTATAAATAGACAATTTTGTGGAGATTTGGATGAATTTTGATGATTTGGCTTGTGATTTGGATCATATTTGACTTACAATTGTCATGACAAATTTCTCAAATACATCACCAATCTCATGTCACATTATTTTAAAACATTTACCTTCAAAACAAAGAACTAAAACAACAATCAACAAAGAGTTTTATAATACCATATTTTCATAGATATCTTGACTATTTTGTCCACAAGTTTCAATTATATCAATTTCTATATCAAAAGAAGTTAAGTCTAACCAATTTTAAATAAGCTATCATTAGAACTTCATGACCAAAACAAGAAATGCCAAGCTCTATCGAGGTTTTTAAGGATCAAAAAGTATAGGTTGAGATAAAAATTATAAAATCACAACTCTTATTCTAATCTTTATGGATTTGGCTTCTATTATAACTAACCATCAAATCATCAAATCACACCATACACTTATCTAATGTACAACCCATAAAGCAACAATTACAAATGCTAGCAGAAATAAGCAAAGTATATAAACATTTCATCTCACTTTATATCAAGTACATCCACAAACATTTCCCTTTGAAAGAAAAAAACAAACTCCTACAATCTCATTACATCACCAACAAATTTATACCCTTAATCGGAAACAACAGTTCGAAGAGGCAATGAGCTTTCAATTCCCTTATTCTCAGCAGCATTTCTCTCTGCAACAACTTTTGACATCCCAAACATCTGCAATTTGTATGTGATTGTAAACAGAGTGAATTTAAAAATTGGAAGGGGGTTTGAGGTATCAGAAACAAACCTTGGATATGGTCTTCTTGAAGCAGGTTTTGTGTTCATCCATGGAAGCGTGTACAAACTCATCGATGTGATCTTTTACATCCTGAAGAAATGTGGCGTCATCTGACTTCTTCTTTCTGCAGGAATCCATGGCTGGTGCCTTCTCTGTTGTCATCTTGATACTTCTGTATAAACAAAAATCACGTAAATTAGGGTTTCAATCGAACAAGGAATCACTATAGAGTATCATAAAAGAATCGGAGGTAGTTTTCGACATTGAAAAGATTAACAAGTCTTTGAAGATTATAAGAATCACAACAAAATATAATTCGTTGCGTTCAAGAAGGAATAAATTAAAGACGTCATGTTTTGAAATTTGATGAATTTAGTACAAGCACAAAAAATTAAAATTCACGTCTATAACCGTTCTTGATCTTAGAGCTCAAATAATAATTTAAGATCCTTTTGTTCTAAAAGAATTATAACGTGTTGATTCGGCATGAAGATTATTTTCTTGGTTTCCTTTTCTTTCTAATTGAAAACTTCATCATCTTCTGTAATCAATTTATCAAAACAAAATCGGTCATGAACAAACCCTAGATGATCGGACTCCATTAAGCAAAACTCAAATTCCTAAAAAGTTCAACTAAATTAATGTTTGTAGTAAGATCGAAGACTTACCGGATTAATACAACGCCTTAAGAACAATCTTAGCGACCTTCCTCGAGTTATCTCTTCCCCATCGTTCAGAGGAACTTTAAAGACGGATGCAGGCTTAAAGTGCTAATCAGGGCCATTCATAGTTTGGGCCATTTAGTTCATTATTTGCTCGGGTAATCCAAGTTCCAAAAAAAGGTAGAAGAAGAATCTTTGTAGTTTGAGGTAATTATAATACTATTAATTGTTATTTGTTAAAATTTGAGGAACATGAAACTTTTTTCTCCTTCTTCTTCCACTCAAGTTTTCCTTTTCATAAAAGCGCCCCAGCTCTTCTCTTTTTTCCTTTCCATCTTATCCGTTTTGGTGCCCGCCTTGCCGCCCTCCTCCTCCAATACAATTTGACTTGCATTGAAAACTCCTCGTTCCCATGTTTCTTCAGCCAAGAAGATACACAACTTGAAGTCATTACTCACTTCATTCGGCAACTCGGCAACCTCTCTCTCTCTCTCTCTCTCTCTCTCTCTCTCTCGTTTAGGTGTGAAGTCGGCACCAGCATCCGCTCCGGATAGGATATGTTGATGGTACCACAGCCTACATAAAACTTTTGTCAATCGACATTTTTGGGTGAAAGGTCTATCGGAAACGTCCCAGCTTTTTCCTCAGTTCAATTTTTGCTAATTATTTTCAGTCATCATGAGTTGCGACTTTCATTCAGATTACTTGATTATTGCATCACTTTCTTCAATCATGATTTAAAGCGTATATTCGGTAATCGATTTCAGAAGTTTGAAAACTTCCCTTTTGGCTTTTCTTTTCCGATTCTTATCGAATTTCTCCACCGTCTTCTGTATTTGGGTTTTTTTGGTCACCGCCTCCATCAAATTTTTTGTTTCAGGGTTTGATGATTTGAGAGGACGATGAGTTGAAGAAAGCACAGTGGTCGGATATGGGTTTCTATTTGGGCCACAGAAATCGGAACTCGGAAGCGACTTACTCTACCGTTCGCCCACCCTTCCTCACCACAACCTTTACACCCACCCACATACGAGAGCTGCTTTTGTCAAATCGTCAAATCGCCTTTCCCTTTGTCGTGTATGTCTACTGTGCTTAAGTAATTACATTTTTTTTATGTTTCACAGGCCTTTAAACATTCTTTTAATTTTAATTTTATGCAATTTGTTGGTTGTGAAAGCTATTGATCTCCCTCATAGTGTTTCTCAGGCAATGGTTTCTTCACGTGTCAATATTGGAAAAATTGTTTCCTGTTTTGCCCCCCAATTTATGAACCGAATTGGATTAATATTGATTGTGGTTGTTGTTGATGGTGCAGTGACGCCTACATCAATGGAAACTTGAAATGGTCAAACACCGAGGAGATGTGATGATGTTGATGAATCTGATTTGCCAAATATTGTTAACTGGGAAAATTTAAAATTAACCGAGTTTTGTTGAAAGAATAATTTTTTTTGGAAGGTAAGAGTAAAGAGTCTATTAGAATTGATGCATATGCGATCACATGCTTTATAAGAACAATAACTTAATATGAGGCACATCTTTGCATTGAGATTCAATTCCTTTATAGCTGCTAAACTATTAATGTACATGTAAATGTAATTCTTTCCTTTATCATCACAATCCAATTTGGGATCTTAACAATAAGTTTTCAGGCGAAAAAGACAAATTTGTAATCTTTTCTCAAATCTCTTAATATGCTTCTATGTTTTGTTAATGCTACTGATATTCTACACTGATTTATTCTTTGTTACAGTGTTATTCCCTTTCAACCATGATTTACACAGCTACCGATACATTCTATCTAACTGATGAACACCTTGAGAACACACCTTCTAGAAAAGATGGAATAGATAAAGCCACTGAAACAACACTTAGAATATATGGATGTGATCTTATCCAAGAGAGTGGCATTTTACTCAAGGTGTATCCTTTTTTTGTGTTTCTTATGGAATGCTATTCAAAATTTATGCTTCTTGATGAGTTGTTATATTACAATTTGATCATATTTAAAGATCCTTAACTATATATATCACACAGACCTCAACAAGTAATGGCCACATGTCAAGTTCTATTTCATCGCTTCTACTGCAAAAAATCTTTTGTTCGTTTCAATGTGAAGAGAATTGCTGCAAGTTGTGTTTGGCTTGCTTCAAAATTAGAGGAAAACCCTAGAAGAGCAAGACATGCCCTCAATGTTTTTCATAGAATGGAATGTAGAAGAGAGAATTTACCTATAGAACATTTAGATGCATTCTCAAAGGTATTTACTTTTATTTAGTTTAAGCACTTTTTGTATATGCTTATGTTGTTGACATATCACAGGTGTACAGAAATATACAGAATTGAAGATGGATTTGATTAGATCTAAAAGACATTTATTAAAACAAATGGCTTTCATTTGTCATGTGGAACATCCTCATAAGTTCATATCAAATTACCTTGCTACCCTTGAAACCCCCCCTGAGTTGACACAAGAAGCTTGGAAACTTGCAAATGATAGGTATGAAAATTTGTATGCCTTAACTCTTTAACTCTTAACTCTTAACTACTATATTCTCTTATTCTTTAAGGACTAACTTTTACTTCTGTTGTGACTTGTGACTAATAATAATAGCTTGAGAACAACTTTATGTGTTCGATTCAAGAATGCAGTGATGGCATGTGGTGTTGTATATGCTGCTGCTAGAAGATTCCATGTCCCCCTCCCTGAAAATCCTCCATGGTGGAAAGCTTTTGATGCTGATAAATCAGGTATAGATGAAGTTTGTAGAGTTTTAGCTCATTTATACACTCTACCAAAAGCACAATATATACTTGTATGCAAAGAAGGAGGCTCATTCACTGTGTCTAATCGCTTTTGGGATTTCCCCTCTCAACCCCTTCCTAAGGTCCACTCTCAAAACTACGTAGTTTTGATCCTTATTTTGTTTTTTTTTTCTAGGTTTTGTTTTGATTTATAGTTTTTGTGGTGTAGGAATCACAAATGATTGATGATGCTAATATAAACAAGGTGTCTGTGGTGTCGGTTTCAGTGTCTCCGGCATGTGTGATTCCGGAGTTGAAAGGCGGAATTGGAAAGGTGAAAGATTCAACAAAGAGTGATGATGTTGATGAGAAAATTGAGAATCAGAGTGTTGTTCCAATTCCGGTTAAGGGGAATCTGTTTCCAAAAGCAAAGAAAGGGAAAGGGAAAGGGAGAAATATAAAAGAGGGAGGGATTCGAAAAGGGAAAGGAAAAGGGATGATAGAGAAAAAGTCAAAGATAGGAGTCATCGGTCAAAGGATAGAGGAGGAAAGGATTCAGGTTTAGTTTGCTTATTCCATTCCTTTATCCATTCCATTCCATTCCATTCATTCCAATCAAATAAGTTTTATCTATTTTTTTAATTCCACTCTTTTTCAACACACAGGACATGGTGAAAAACCAAAACATCATTCTTCACGACGTACATGACTGAAAAAAATTCACTTAAACATTATTTTTAATATTATGTGTGAAATTTACAATTATGCCCTTTTGTTAGTTCAGATCGGTACTACCATGGCTCGACATATTCCTCAAGGGAGAAGGACCGACATAGACATCATTCGTATGGTTAATATTTGCTAAAAAGTTGTCCATGTTCATATCTCTTATATCAGGTTTGTGAGGTTTATTGACATTTTTACCCTTAATAATTTATTTTAAACATCTTTCATTTTTTTTGACATGTAGGGATGTTGTAATTTTGCTATCTCAGAAATTTCGTTCTGTTTTTATAAAAGTTAATTATATATACAATTATCTTCATAACTTAAAATATTGTGAAAACATGTTGGACCATAGTGAATTATATAGGGAATCATAGTCAACGATCATGAATAGGATTGTCACTAATTTAGTTTAGTATAAACTATGAACAGATCAGAAGCTGAATGGAACAGGAGTATTTTTAAATAAGTACTGATTATGGACACCTGGTGAGTAAAATGGGTTCAGAATATCTACCAAAGCTTCTCTCACAGGTAAGGTCATTTTGATATTTTCTTCTTTAAAAGCAATGACTTATAATATCATTATTTTTTTGGATGATTTTATTAATAGCATTTGGAATCTGTAATTAAAGCAAAAAAAACGGGAATTATTTCCCTGATAAATAAAGGTTTTAAAGAGACGGAAGCTGAGTTAAATCGCCTTGGAAGACCAATTGCAGTTGATGATGGAGTAAAAATCATTTTTTTTTTAAATGCCGGTTTATTATTTTAAATTGATTGGCAGAGTTCTAACACGAAATTTATTATGCAGTAATTGATGAAATTACCAACCTTAACGATAAGGTGATGCTTATTCATGTTACATGTGGTTTGTCTACTTTATTTTATTTTGATAAGCAATTAACCATTAACTGATATTTATTTGTGTCACTTCTTTTGGATCGCAAGACATGAAATCATTAAATCATTGAATTTACATAAAAGAGTCAGGTAAACAGGTTACATATTTTTTTTTGTATAAAACAAAATTTCAAAGGCGACGACACTATGACGTTTGCGAAGGACTGGAACTCGCTATAATTTTTTCCCAATTTTTAGAAAGGTAAATCATGTGTTCCAATTTTTTATTCAGGTTTACTCTTTCACTCATCATTTCTAAACATTAATGAAACTTCATATATGGGTATTTCCGTACTTTACCAATTTTTAATTTTGCAGCCTCCATACTCCTTTCTTGTGACTTTGGAGGAAAAAATGCAAACTCACCTGTTTATGAGGCTATACACAAGTTGACATAAGATTTGTATGAGTGAAATGACAATGCTGCCCTTACTACTTCACCTCTGCCTCCCCTACGACTTTCAACAATCGGGATCTCTGGTAACTTGTGTAACTATTATCTATTATTGACGGTTGTGTAATTAGTTTAGGGTTGCCAAATATATCATGTATATGATTATTTAATTAATTTTATTTTTTTAATTAGTTATTCTTGCAATTGTTTCTTATGCAAATTTCCGGTAATAGCAATGTAGTTTACCATGAACTTCATATTTCTTAAAGCATAAATAGCAAGTTTTTGACAAAATTTAGTAAAAAAATGAATTTTGTTACTCAATTGTGATTATGTTTCACAGTAATTGTGTGTCACTTTGTTTTCATTAATATAATACTATGTTCTCCTAATTGGTACAGCTTCAAATAAGGGGAAAAAAACCGAACACAGCGCCAACGGCGCACATGATTCCCCTCTAGTTTGTATGATTAGTTATAATTTATTTTTTAACTCGGATCATTTTTATGTTTTTATTTTTAGACGTTTAGTCCTTTTCAAAAATAAAATGAATAAAATGATTGTTGCACCTTTATATATATATATATATATATATATATATATATATATATATATATATATATATATATATATATATATATATATATATATTTATTGTTTATCATCTATATATACTTATAAATAAAACATTTTTCCTTTCATCACATTCATTTGAAACCCCCATGAATTTTTCCTTTCACCACATTCATTTGAAAGTCTCATGACTTTTTAATTTCTTTCTAATAATAATTATAAGTTGGTTAATAAGGTTAAATAAATATTAAACCTAAAGTGTAATCATATATAAACTAAATTTCAGTATTAAAATAATATATTTACTTTTACTTATAAAGTTATGTTTTTTAACTTTTAACACATTATACTTAATTTATTAGTTTTAATATATTGTTGAATGCAAACCATTATCATTTTAAAGATACAATTTTGGAAGAATTTGTTTAAAATACTTAAATTATTAATTTAAATATAACATTACAAGGTCAACTTAAATATAAATTTTAGTTTAACTTAAACAACCCAAAAAATATTTTGTAAATAGTTAAAAGTGATAAATTGTAGTGTCTTTCTAATAATGATTATAAGTTGGTTAATAAGGTTAAATAAATATCAAACCTAAAGTGTAATCATAAATAAACTAAATTTCAATTTTAAAATAATATATTTACTTCTACTTATAAAGTTATGTCTTTAACTTTTAACATATTATACTTAATTTATTAGATTTAAAATGTTGTTGCATGTAAACCATTATCAGTTTAAAGCTAAAACTTTTGAACAGTTTTGACAAAATACTTAAATTGTTAATTTAGATATAATATTACAGTGTCAACTTATATATAAATTTCAGTTCCACTTAAAAAACCAAAGCATATTTTGTAGATAGTTAAAAATGATAAATTGTAGTGATAAATGCAAAAACTAAATTGTAATCTCAATTTAACTAAAATATTTCCTAAAGATATTTTTATAATCACTAAAAGTTTTCAAATAAGTAGCTAAAAATAACTTACAATAACAATAGTTAAAAATAACTCTATATAAATGATTATATTTTTACCTTTAAAATCAAAAAACAATGTTTGATGTTTTAAATAATTATAACGATAGAAATTAAAATATTAAGCAAATAAATTTTAAAAAATTAATTAACAATAACAACAAATATAAATAACATTAAACCATATATTATATTTAATTTTATTCATGTGTATCTCGCGGGTAGAAATCATTCAAACGATTGAGATTATGCAGTTATAATAGATGTATATATTATCATATAATTCAAAATAATCAATATATTATATCAATTTAGTATCCGAATTATTATATCAAATTTAACAACAACGTTATTGTTATATTAAAAAAAACATATATTTGTAAAGACTTCAACTATATAGGTGTTTTTGCGCAACGCGCGGGCATTCGCCTAGTTTTGAATTAAAAAGAAAAGAAATAAACCCCCATAAAGACCCCCTCCCCTCCACCGCCACCTAACTAAGCTAGCTCTCTCTCTCTCTCTCTCTCTCTCATTTCTAACACTAAACCCTAAATCACCAAGCACCATGGTCACCGCCCTCCTTTAACCGAACACTAACGCCCTTCTTGGATCATCGTCTTCGTTTCATTTCCCACACCCCCATCATACGTCCATACCAACTATGCACTCACCCATTTTCATCCAAGTTGTTGAATTCTGATGCCAAACCTACCCACCCACATATCTAACATCAGAGCCCACCATATCGTCATCGCCTTCTTTTTACCAGCCATTTTCACTGATCACAACAACTCCATTGTTAATATTACACAAGTCACTGATAATTATAATGTAACACCTGTTTTTCATAACAAGTATTAATGTGTAAGAATAAGCAGGGATTAGTGGAAGAAAGTTATAGTTCACTCTGAGACGATTCCGTAGATTTAAAAATCATCAAAAATGGAGTTTGTGTGAAGAAGTTATAGTCGTTTGAAAAATACATTATTATTCTGAGAGAGTCAATGCAAGTCAACTCACAGATACGACATAGCCTTGAAGGTGACGCGGTGCGACCAATGACGAGCCAACAGAGACACGTGTCGGAAGGGAAGTACATGTGGCGGGATGTCGGGAAAACAACAATTTGCAATGTGGATAGGAAGGTGTTGCATTGCATTTTCGAGGTAATATAAATATGTGTGTTTGTGTCATTTAAAGAGTTTTGGCGCACACGATCAGGAGAGAGGCTCGGGAGGTGTTTCCGAAGACTTATAAACGCAAAGTTGTACTAGTGTACGAGGATACGAGGGTTAAGTTACGAGATGAGTCGAGGTGTTTTTATATCATTATTACATGATTATGTTTACGTAGTATTTTGTAGTGGGTTGTTAAACCCCGAGTTTGTTACGAGATTTCATAGTACGGTGTTATTATGAACCTGATGATTAGTTAAATGTTAATATGATCGGTAAGGGTTATGCACCCTAGTTTACCGAGATTTATCGATTGGGTTAACGACTTACGGGGTTGAGTCGTTATGTGACTATATATGGAAATTTGACTAGTTTGGTGACAAATATTTACCAAGTCTTGCTAGTGATCATGTAATCGATCATTGTGATTGATATATGGTGTGACTAGACAAGTTATAATGGACTTGATATATTGTAAAAATAGGTCTGGACAAGTGACGAATTGGAAAGCAACGCAGAATTAGATACCAGAATGATATTTAGGAGTTGTTTGTTTTTTTCTAAGCCAAAACATTTGTAGTATGCAGATGTAACATCCCGAAAATTAAGGCTAAAAATTTCATTTTTAATTTAAATATTATAAAACCATTTGTATGAAAACCTCCATAGTATCAACTCATAAAGAAACCAATGTATCAATAGTCAAAACATGTCACAATTGTAACATCCTGTTCTGAAAGTATCCGCTTATGGATTTCAGAGGCCAAGGCTAGGGGCGTTTTGGTCTTTTATGGGTTTTGAGTTTTTAT